AATGTAGTCACCTGCTGTGAACTTTGGCGAATCCACACCAAAGCCGCTACGGCTTTCCAAAGCTGATGATCCAGATCCTTTTCCACCAATAGTGGGCATCTGCATATGAAAGAGATGTAGAGAGACAAGCTTTTATACCCATGAACAGAAAATTAAACAGTTGATAATGCAAAAAAAAGGCTTAACTGAAACACACAAAAAGCGACACACACACACAATGCAAGCATTAATAAATTAAACGTGGTAGAAGTTTTTTAAACCCAATCCTTGAAATTGGTGGAAAAAGAAAGCACACTAAAGAAAATTTTTTTGTAGAACATCCCACTGGTGAAACAAGTCCATGAGATGGTCAAATCTATGGACAATGCAACACAGGCTATACCAAAAGTAGTATGCGCATGCAGCAATTTGTTTACAGATACACACATCTACAGACATTCAAGGCATGCACTGGCTAGTGGTGAACAATGAGGATTTTTTTGGCAACAACCATGCAAAGAAAGAAGCTACATGCTCAAGGGTGAGATTATCCTCCAAATGGTTTAACTCTAAAATGCAACACGGCAATATTGCAGAGAAAAATATCACATTTCTTGGCATGCCAACTGGTAAAACCTTTAACATCAACATCCAATTGTGCGAAAATAGACAAAAAAAATTAGCTACTCTAGTAGCACAACAGCTTTACCATTACTGTGAGCATTTGCAAATATATGCAAACAGAAACAACCGACATATTAAACTCGTTCAAACAACAAAACAAGGAACCAGATAAAATTCAAGCAGGTTAAAGTTTGGATTAATTGAGTACTATGAGAAGGAATTTCCTCCCTCATGATGATAGAAGAATTACATTTCGTCTGGCCAAGCTTCATCAAAAGTGCCTTTTTTATTAAAAAAAATGCCTTTTCAAAGTTGAGGTGTTTGGTCAAGCTTTTAGGACTTAAGTTGTTTACTGAGAAACTAAGCCTGTTAGGATTGACTTATTTTAGGCGCTTTTAAGCATTTTTATAGTGTTTGGCTAGAATGAAAAAGTGCTTTTGAACACTTGCCTTTAAGCTAAAATCACAAAAATAAGCCTAAAACAATAGTTAGGATTCCTAACTCATGACTAGTGTTGATGAGTCATAAGCTATAAGTCCATCCAAACAGTCTCTAAAAGTAGCTTCTACCCAAAGTTCTTTTTTGAAAGCACTTTTGAAGTATAAACTAAGAAGCTAAGTTGTGCGGACTCTTCCCTTTTGATGTCCCGCACCACCGACCGATTCTCCAAAAAATACTTTTGAACAACACAACACACGCAAATTGACATTTTTGAAAAGTCCGAGCAACATAGCTTAGAAGCCCATTTTAAATGAGTAGACCAAACATATGTTACCATAAAAAAGTTAAATAAAATTGGACCAAACATTAATTGCTGCCCAAAAGTGCTTTTCAGATTGATTAGTCAAGAACAAACTGTTTCTCACCAAAAATACTTTTGAAAAGCACTTCTCAAAATAAGCTAATTTTAAAAGCTTGGGCAAACAAGCTATTAGTCTCACATCAAGTCCACATCACAAGAAACACAAGGTCACCCTCCTTCAAATATAACACCAGAATTTGTACCGCTTGTGGCAATATTTCATTCTTCAGACAGTTACGGCAATAGATCACATATCATACAAATAGAATATATACAGTGCAGAAGAATCTGCTGACCTGCTGAGCAGTTGAACCATACACAGAGCTGTATTGCCCACCATAATTAGGCGCTGTTGATGGATGATGACTGTGACTTGTGTAAGAATTCATTTCTGCATCTTGGGGGGTTCCTAACATCGAAGAATGACGTGAACCTGTAGGTAGCTGAGAGGACCTCTCAGGCCCTCCGGCAGAACTCTCGGAGTAACCATGTCCCAACTAGAAGAACAGAGGAAGTGGTACAAAATTACAAGAATGAACATAGTACACAAAACTATAAAATAGAAGAGTTTTGACATTCATAAATGTTTATCAAGAGCTACTTCAGAATGAATTTATGCACCCATGGTATACGGAAAAACTATCCAAGAATAAAAGCTAGTTCATAACACAACGTACTACAGCTGAGAATCCTTATTATTGCCAGCACCTGATCTGCAAGTCAAAAAATTAGACCGACTACAATTTGACTCTCATGATCACTATTTACACATTCAATACACCTGCCTATCTCATTTCTCATCTGATATACGGCAATATCATTGTTTGAAAAATTCACTTGGTCTTTACTATTAGTCTCAACTAAATACAGTCATGGAACCACCTATATTTCTACTTTTGCACTGTTGGTTCAGAGTTCGTCCAAGGCAATGAACAATAGCTCCGGCATTAGCAATTTACAATTACAAACTCAATGCTGATATAGCAAAGGAAATACCACAGCAAAATGAAAGGATCCACAGAGCAGGAGCGGACAGTGTCGAGAATGGGTCCCAGGAATGCGTAGCTTTTACACGGTACTTGTATTTATATTGAGAAATTCATTAAAATTTGTAGTAAATTTAGATGGTTTTTGCTGTTTCCTTATCTGAAATGCTCTGAAATGTGTTTCATCGAGCCGAGGGTCTACCGAAACAACTTCTCTACCTCCAGGGTAAGGGTAGAGGTAAGGTCTGTGTACACTTTGTGGGATTACACTAGGTTTGTTGTTGTTGTTGTATTAAATTTAGACAGAACCCAATACCAAGAAGGTTGTTGGTTCCGAACATACTTCCAGACCATTGTTGGATTCTAGCTACTGTTTAAAATTCAATTATTGCATTTAAATAGGTTAAAATTGTGAAGTGAACGTCTGCATAATCACGAATTTTTTCAAGGCCCAAGCCACTTCAGATTCATCTCTAGTTCTCCTTCACTATGTTCGCCTTCATGTCCAGAAATATTTAGAATTCTAACGGTAACTTTTATATCAATATATTGTGTTTGAGTAGTTGGTTACCTTTTAAATATTACATGTATATTGAATATGAGTACCCGTTTCTTTGTACTATAATTATTTTTATTATATGCTAATTTGAGATTACTGAAATCGGTGATTAACTCAACTGACGGGGATTAAATTTTAATTATTGCTTTTTTATTGTGTACATGTATGACACATAAGTCTAACTCAACCCCAAAAACAAGCTCGCGAGCGGAACATTACCCAAGTCCATATAACTCGTCAATTCTCCAACCAATGTGGAACTCTAACACACTTAACACCCCTTACCGCCCGGACCCCAAATGATAATGAACCTGACTATGATACCACGCAAAGATACGACCTAAACTTAACTCAACCTTAAAAATTAGTATACACAAGTGTGAGATTAAGATAACATACAATTCAACTTTGACAAACTCAAATCAGCCTTTTAAATTAAAATGAGTTCTCAATTCTCATTTCTCATAACTAAATTGATTGAATAAATTTCAATTGCAACACCACACTAATCACACTACAACAACAACAACAACAACAAAGGTATAACACATAACAAAACAAGGAAAAAACAAAATACTCACATTTTGGCCGTAGCTTGGTTGCGAAGAGTAGGATTGTTGTCCATACACATTACTTCCTCGAGAAGGATACATCTTCGACCACCAAAAACCCTAACAACTAAAATTAAACAAAACTGTAAAAGATACAGCTATTTAAAGACTCGCAACATCAAATAACTGAGCTATTTTTCTTTCTTATAGCGCCGGCGAATTAGAAGAAGAAGGACGCCGCTGCGTACGGCGGAGCTGCGGCGGAATTTGAGGTTTTCTTTTATTAACTGTAGAAAAGATTGGGGGAAAAAGCCCTACTGATATTTATTTGTCAAAAAGAAAAAGGAAATAATATTTGGTAATTCGCTGCTTCGCGGGTGCCAGGAAATATTTGCAACCGGATGATCTCGCCGTTAATTATGTTGACTTTATATACACAATTTGTTGACTTCAGAACCACAGTGTAATGGAGTAGTAAACATGAATGACAATAATATGTTTTGAGTACTATTTATTCGGGGAAGGTTTTCGTCTTCGTGTAAATAAAATAATGACTAACGAAAAATGATTATATTAATTTATGTAATCAGATTCTATTTCGATTTTAATATATGTATATTTTTAGCGTATTTCAATCTTTGTTTCTATTAAAGACTTGGGGCGAAGAAACTGGCCATCTGCTTTCTTATTTCTATATCATTGTGGAGTATGTAAGTAGCGGCTTCGATGATCTGAGCAAGGACTGAACCTTTTAGCGCCATCAAAGATATGTTCAAAGTTGGGAATTACCCATATTAGCTTTGTTGATAATATTTTATAATTTTTTCAAAAGTGACGTTTTCTCTGTGATGACCTTGAATAAATATTTTGAGGATTTTTCTAAAGCCTCGGACTATAAACTAGTTTGGGAAAAAGTTTTATATATTGGAAAATGGTTCATGATATATAATAATATGAAAAATTAATACCAACATAATTGATTTAACATTGAATTACCAATTAATGCGAAGATCGTCATTTCTAGTTAGTCTCTTTAGTGCTTTGCGGAACTCTCATAGTGTATATAGTTGTGTATATTTTTTGTTAATTATATCAAGATGTTATGCCATAGTAAATAACTATATCAAAAAAAATATAATACATAAATATACTTTCTAACTTGGTCTCAATTGATAAGTAAGCACTTCAATTTTGAAGAGTACACGTCTTGACACCTCAACTCGGTCTCAACTGGAAACTTACCACTCCAACTCGTCTTCTAATGTGTCTTGTGAACACCATGTGCTGACATAGCACAAAAAAATTGAAGCTAGATGATTAATTTATAAGTTAGAGTATTCGATTGACAGAATGAAAATGATTTGAGGTGTTAAGATGTACATATTCAAAGTTAAAGTGTTTTTTGTTAGTTAAACCAGATTCAATTGAATGCATATGTATTGTGTTTTTCAAAAATATACATGATGTAGTAATTCTAGGAATATAAACGACACGAACAATTTAAATGACAAAACTTAACTCAAATCTTCATTTATTAAAATGAAAACAATAATAAAATGAACAAAATCTAATATATATAAGAATGAAATAGAATAAAATCTTTTTTTCAATCAACTCCCTCAAATTTAAGGGTTTCTTTCGGAATCGAAGACCAATGAGTAATCTTGAAATTCGTATTTCATGAAAGAAATCATATTCTTAGACCTTAGTACAATACCAATATATTATATATTCATTATCAGAAAATCAATAATTTTCGATGGAATTAATTGATATTTGATTTGTCACCAAAATTTTCAAAAATTAGTGATTTTCTGATTTTTTTTTTTAATTGTTTGTATATGGTAAATGCTATTGAAGAAACCTTGAGAGGCCTACTTTGTGGCCAATAAATTTGACATCTTGTTGAATTTGATATCTATATTCACCAAAAGTGAATTTCTTATAAATAGAGGGTTCTTTGTAGCTTCGAATCTTAAAATCATAAGAAGGGCAAAGAAAATAAGCTATTGAGAACCTCTCCTTCTTTCCATTTGCCATCACTTTGTGTTCCACACTTTTGTATACATCATTGCTCCAAGCCTGTATTTATTTTAACATGGTGATTAATTTGCACTTGAACATAAAAATAGAATGTCAAAAAAATGTGTAATTAATCTTTTATTTTCGAAAGAAATGAAAGGATTTCTTGTAAAATGTACAAAATCCATTCATTCTTTCTACCTTATAGATGGTTAGAACTTCATTCGGATTTTGAATCTTATTATATATATTAAAACATATATAAACTTTTTGAGATAAATATAAAAAATTTATTTTTTAAATAACGATGACGTTTAAACCAGCATCAATAAAATGTAAAAACTTGTCAATGGCTTAGGGGATTATCTACCAATCAAATTAATTAGTTCATAGTAAAAAAATAATAATAAACACATAGTTAGCTCTTTTTTTAAAAAAAAAATTATTTGGCTTAAATTATTTAAATGATGACAAGACCATGAGCAATTGGAGACAAAAGTTGGTGAAAAAGAAATTAGAATTTTTGGACATTGGTTTCACCATTTCTTGACCAATCAAAGACAATTATAAACTAATTGCACTTTTGATTAATTATTTTATACTAATGACATAGTTCTCAAATATAAAAAGTTCTATAAAATTGATAAACAAATAGAAATGAAAAAAATATATGCGGCTAAAACTCTTCAAATATATTATCGCACTAATATCAAATCATTATTATTAAAAAGAATGACACAAAAAAGATTAAATAACAAAAAAACGTACCTGAAAAAGATCTCCGATGTTTACAATAAGTGCATTTTGATTAGGCTTAACAGCAACCCATTTGGAATCTTTCATTAATTGAAGTCCACCAACTTCATCTTGATGAAGTATAGTTAAGAAATCACTATCTGTATGTGGCACTAATCCAAATATTTCTTGTGGTAATTGACATGATGGATAGTGATTTAACCTAAGAAAACATGAATTTTCATTGCAAATTTCTCCAATTTCACTATCTTTGTGGTCTAATTTCTTCACAAGAACACTAGCAAGTGATTTGGCTAAATCTTGCATTGAAGTTGCATATTCCACCATCACATCCCTATATATAAAAAAAAAGTTTGAATTTAAGTTACGTACGCTAATAAACAGACTATCATAAAATCGTTAATTTTCAACAGACGTTCTGTCCAAATTTAGCTTACCCTAAAGGGAAAACCATCAAAAATGTTACTGACAAAATAATTCTCGATAAATCCCATTTGAAATCTCTCTAAGAAGACAATAATGTTGTAATAACTCTTTGTAGCAAACTTATTATATGTCATACATGTATACGTTTTGATCTAAAGCTATTAAGTTTTGTTGTATTCGTACGCTATATTGTGTATCAATTCTAATTTCAACTCGCCTAATTTATTCTTAATTTTGAATTCGCTTTCATGCGTAAAAATTCATTGATCTAGACATATAAATTAAAAAATCTATCTATTTAACTATGTCATATACACCTTTTTATGCAAAAGAAAGTAAATTAACACCATTAATAAAGTCATATTTACATGCTATACCAGATAATATGTAAATTATCTTACTCTATAGATATCTTTTAAATAACCTGACGCTCTGTTATTTTTTTAATATTAGCAAGTTTATATATGTGACTAAAACTATATAATAAGTATAGTACCTTAAAGTTGTGAACTCTCCATAAGAAGCATTTTCTGAGATTTTTGTCACAGGGATATGAAAAGCTTCTGACCAATTAAATTGTTTTGGACAAGTAGCTGTTGAATTTCCCCATCTATATGAATTATTTAATAATCCACAATTAGCTTTCATTTCAAATGGTGCTTTAAACAATTTCATTTGTTCATTCCTCATTTTTCTTAGCAATTCAAGGCTCACACCATGATTCACAACTTGAAAAAAACCCCATTCAGAAGAAGCCTTAGCTATCGCGTTTTCACATCGAATCACTTCTCTCTCGTCTCTACTTTTTAAACCGTTCAAATCTATCATCGGAAGTTCCAACTCTTCCATCATGAGAACCCCATTATTTGAGCAGTCGCGATTACTCTGTAGTCGCGATAGCTTCGAGTAATCATGTAGGAGAGGAGGATTCCAAGACTCTATCATCATATTGTGATCAAATTGAACAAGAAAAATATGAGAAATGAAGAAGAGTTTTGGGATAAAGAGTGTATACATGATGTATTTATATGGTTTTTAGATGTATAAAGTGGGGGAGGAAAAAGAAAGGAATGTGACAAAATAACACCATGTGGGGGGGAAAAAAACAAGAGGAAATTAAACCATTTAAATTCATGACAATTGTCACAATAAGAATGTATCTCTATTTTTTTATGCATGACAATTGTCAATGACAATGTATCTTCTTGAATTGGGCCTTTTTTCTTTTTATATATAGCTATGTTTTTCGACGTTAAATCTGACTACATCTATCTCGATTAATTTTATGAGATTTTTGACAGTTTTTATCATCAGAACAAGTACATGTCAACTACTTGTTTACTAATAAATACGAAAAATTCATCTAGTGTTTTGCTTTTATTTCGGATTTAAATGAAATCGGACTATTTTTATCATTATTATTATTATATATGACTAATTATAATAAATATTCTGAAATTATTTTTAAAGGGAAAAAGGTCTGATACACCCCTCAACTTTGTCATTTGGAGCTGATATGCCCCTCGTTATAAAAGTGGCTCATATATGCCCTTACCGTTATACAAACGACTCACATATACCCCTGCCGTTACAAAATGACTCACATATACCCTTCATTTAACGGATTTTAAAAAATTAATTTTAAATTTATATTTATTACTTCTAATTTTTTTTTAAAAATTATTTAGGATATATATGATTCTTCTATCAAAGTTCAAGGTATATTTTAATTTTTTTCATACATAAATTATTTTTTGACTTCTTTTATTATAATTATTTGAATTTCTTATTCTTATTTTGTTTTTTTCTTTCATTCCTTAGTTTAAAGAATAAAAAATTAAACTATTTTTCTGTGTGTGTATTGTAATTTAATTTCGAATTCGAAGAAAAAAATTGATCATCTACAATAAGTTTTACAAGAATATTAGTGAAACATAAATAAATTTGATTATCAAAGTAATAATTATAAATCAGTCATTGAAACAAAAAAAGTCAAAAAAATATGTTTGACGAGGATTAAATTTATTCATTTGGGATTATATTTTTTAGAAAAAAATAATAAAAATTTAGATTAATTTTTTTTTCATTTCCGTTAGAGAAAAAGGGTATATGTGAGCCATTTGTTTACAAGTAGGGGTATATATGAGCCACTTTCATAACAAGGGGTATATCAGCTCTAAATGACAAAGTTGAGGGGTATATCAGACCCTTTTCCATTTTTAAATTACTCTTTTTAGTCTGAGACACTTTTTTTTTCCAGATAATTGGAGTCAAGAAAAGTTTCAGATTCAAAGAATTTTAATTCATCCCAATAGATCTAAAAAATTAATCTATCGAGCTATTATTATCATTGAGTTTTAAAAGTGCGCGTGTATATCATTGAAATTTTGTACTTTTTTTATTTACTGCGAAATTTGATTAAGATATCATACATATCGTTGTCTTTCTAAGATTTTCAGTTTAGAAGCATGTAGGTTATTTTTTTGATCCATCTTTGTCAACTTGATCATAGATATTACAAGTATGTTAATTAGTAGATTAATTTGAATTCATGACAAATAAAGCCATAAAAATAACAAAATATTCTTGATCGAAAATATTTTAATTTTTGAAACTTAAATATAAAATCAAATTAACTGAAAAAATCTCCTTCGTCTCATCACATTTAGTGTGACAATGTGAATGCCAATTAGACTTTTTAATGAAATACTGCTATCATATTTTGCTTTGCTGAATATTAAATTAGAAAATGAAAAAAAAAAAACAGTCAAAAATTTTTTAAGTGTGAAAATATATTTGCTTTTTTATTTCTTGACTCACACGTAAAATAGTTAATTAAACCATTTCAGAATTAGGAAAAAATGATCTTTTTTCTTTTGTCTTAAATTTGAGTGTTTTGTCATATAAAGTCAAAAGTTAAATTCAACATTGTCCAGAAATATTTTTTTAGAGAAATTACTATATTTTCCATGAGATTTATATATTTATAATAAATAAATAAAATTATACCAATTCACAAACCTAAATAACAAGCAAACACATTACATAAAAATGATCTTGACAATAATTTTATTCTCACATTTTATATGATACTCCTTCTGCCTCATTTTATGTGACACTTTTCGTTTTTCGACAGTCAAATAGTTTAACTTTGACTGCACATTTGCATATGGAATTTTCAAACTTTTTGAAAAGAAATTTATATACTTTTAAACTATGTAAAGAGTACTATAAGTTACAATAATTAATAATTCAGAATGTTAAATAAAACTTTAAAAAAATACATTTAAAGATAAATTTATTTAAAATCGATAATTCTAAAAATTTGATTAAAAAGTTAGTCACACGTAAGGCTGAATATTAATTAAAGTAGAAAAAACAGTCAATTTTTAGTATGAAAATAAATGTTTGCCTTTTAATTATTTATTTGACTAATATATAGTGGAAACTTAAAAAAGTCATTGTAGAATCAGGAAAATTTGATTTTTTTTTTGTTGTAATTTGAATGTCTTGTTGTATAAATTCAAAGTTAAGTTGAACATAGACAACTCCATAATTTATATATTTTTTAAAATATAAAATTTACATAATCAGTAACTAGATAAAAAAATCATCGACGTATCTGTATTAATTATATCTACAAATATATATTTAATTTTTAAAATATTCTTAACAACTCTAACTTCATTGTGTCACAAAATGTCATTATTAATGTATAAAAAAGAAGGTTGTTGTGAAGCAAAATTTGGAAATCTTGGTGAAATTTCGATATAGTAAAGTGTATATTAGAGACAGCATAAAACTTACTTATATCAAGTGTTTACGTTAAATCAATATATACATATATGTATATAAAACCACGCTAAGGTTTATATTTTGCTATTATATTATATGTTATATTGTTTATATGACAGAGAGAAGTTTTAATTTCTAGTGTAATTAGCATAAAACCAAATATATTTTTAAAAAAGAGATTATGGTAATTAATTTCCTCTTATTCATGTAATTAAAACCTCAGTAAAATGTGGTTTTCCAAAAATTTGAGAGCCTAAAACTCAACTCTAACGACTTATCGTCCGTTTTTATTGAATTTTTAAAATTTATACGTGAAGAATAATAATTTGTGTTTTACTAACTTATTATTTGAAAAATTAGTTTTGCCAATACTAAATCGGTACTTTGTGTTTGATCAATATTTTTTAGAATTACTATTTAAGAACGGATAAGATCCGGTCAAGTATAATTAGGTCAAGTAATGTTTAATAGCCTTATAGATTCATGTCATGTGTACTATATAAAATTTATGATTGAAATCTATTTAAATTATATACTCATTCAATATAATAATAAAAAACAATAAAGTTGTCAATTTGTTTTATTCTTTAAAATTATCAAATAAAGCAATTAAATGTACCTAAGTTAATATTTTCACGAAAACAATTTAAGATTGACGGGAATATGCAAACTTTCTGACTTTTTACCCGACAAACTTGTTCAGGGGTCATTTCACACATGGTTTTCTCCAAATTCCGAAGAAATCTCCAAGAATAGATCAAACTTAAAAACATAACTGAGTTCTAAATAATAAGTCAATTAAAGAACATGATAATACATTTTAAAAAAAATACTTAATTGTAGGTTTTCAAATAATTATAAACATATACTTATTCAGTTTTTTTTTCAAAAATTTCTGATTCTTTAAAATTAGTATAATATAAAAAATTCTTTACAAGTACGAGGTTTTGGCAGGTTAAAAAGTCGGGAAGTTCACATATTTTCATCAGTCTTTTTTTTTTTTTTGAAAATATTACCTATGGTATACTTAATTGTTTTATTTGATAGTATTAAAAATAAAAATAATTGTCACTTTTGTTGTTTTTATTATTAAGATGAATATATAATTTAAATCAATCTCAACCATAAATTATTATACTGTACATATGACATGAATCTATAAGACCATTGAACATTACTTGACCTAATTAGAATGAATGAATATATAATTTAAATCGATCTCAACCATAAATTATTATACAGTACACATGACATGAATCTATAATACCATTAAACATTACTTGACCGAATCTTTATCCCAATTAATTGAAAACACAAATAAAAATGTTTTTATCAAATATTCAAATGCTTAATTAAATCGACGTCGTTATCATGATGTTATGTATCTCCCCCAACTTATCATCCATATATTACATAATCGATAGCTACAAGTGAAGTATTCATTTCCCCTTAAAGTGCGTTTTGAATTATTTAAAATTTGATTCCATTTAATTGTGCTAATTAATTAACAAAAATTCATCTCAATTATTCTTGTTTTTTCATTTTAACCTAGCTAGATTGATTCACATTACTTGCCATCCATCCTTTAAGCATCAAAAATCAAAAAGTGAAAAGAAGCAATAAAATCACCCTCTAGTGCAAGCGCGATTATTTTACGTGGGTAAGTGAGATAGTCATGTATTTTTATATGCATAAACCTATCTAGTGCAATTCACGTGTGTTTGGGATACCATATACTTAAGAGAGTGATGAACGAGATTTTTTTTATATATCCCATATACATATGAATCCACTTGAATACAATGTATTTCGATTAATTATGTACTTAATTTTGACCTCATGTATCCCCATCGAGATACATGTATCTAAACGTATCTGCACACATTAAAATCTGGTAAAATTCATAATAATGCAAACTACCATATATCTAAATAATTAGCTCCTAAACTAATGAAATATCTGTAATATTTAAAAATACACGCTAAAATTTGAAATTTAAAAAATTCGAACTAATTCAATTATATACGCTCCTAATTCTTGATAAAAAGTGTCATATAAATAAAAGAATATTTTTTTTCTCAAAAGTTAGCACGTGAAAGCATAGAAATAACAAATAAAAAAGATTAAAAAAAAAACTAGGTGGGGGGCCAACAATAGGAGAAAAGCATTGGATATTCTAAAGCATATGGGAATTGTCATATCAATTTAATTAAGACCATTTTAAATGTGGTAACTTACCTGTTTCGTCGGTTGGTTCAAAATAATTATATTTGCCAATAAAAAATATATATATACATATAAAATATAATTGATTGTTACTTTGATAGACGAGTATTTTGTATCAATTTTTCTCTCAAAAGAGAATTCACGAGTGGAGTTGAAAAGAATTTTTATATTAAATTAGGAAAATACATAAGTATCTTTTTGAACTATGCCCGAAATCTTAGAGACAATCTTATACTATACTAAGTCTTATTACCCCTGAACTTATTTTATAAATAATTTTCTACCCCTTTTCGGCTTACATGACACTATCTTGTATGCCCAGCGTGTGTTGACAATTTCTTCATTATAGTGCCACCGCTGCCACGTAGATTAAAAAGAGGTTGAAAATTATTTTTAAAATAAGTTCGAGGGGTTACAGGACCTTAATAAAGTACAAGTGTGCCTCTGAATTTCTGGCATATGTCGGGAGCATTTATGCATTTTTCCAAAAATTGAAACAATTATTGTTCAAATATACTGAATTAAACAACAATTAAGAGTTAATGACATCCTAATCTCTGATTAAGGAAAGTCATTGTCTAATTAAGGTAATTATACTGACTTTTATGGCCCAAAATATATTAAATCTCTTTAACTTTAGTTGTAGGGGCGGCAAGAACAGACACAAACTTGTGATTTAATATTAAGGTCATTTAATTATGTCATAATCATATTATAATGTAATTTAATTAATGAAAACCATATAATTAATCGTATTGCACTCCAGTGCTACTTGAAATTACTACGTATTCGTATACGTAGAAATATATGTAAGAAACGAAAGATAGAAAGAGAAACCTATAAACTAAAAAGACTAATACATTTTTTTTCCGATTTAATAAAATCCAACGCATACCATTGACAATACTTTTCGATTGTTACTATTTAGTTAATTAAATGTAAAAGTTTATGGTATTTTATGATAACCTAGCTATTAACATTGTCTTTTCATAATATTCTTTTGGAAAACGCACGTGTTTAATAGTGAAGCTCACTCAAGAGATTTATGTGATCGTGAATTCTGAATCGATCCATTATATTTTATATTAGATATGATTCATATTCTAATCTTATTTTAAAATTTCGATCACAATTAACTCTTTAAGAAATAATATGTTCCATTTTGCCAAAAAAAAAAGGATCTAATTAATACAATAGTCAAATATATAAATTTAGTAAATCCATATGCATATTATATTATTTTGTTACTATAATTGTAACGGATAGAAAAGGGATGAACCTTGTCATTTTCTTTGGGAATAATTCCAATAGAATAATACTTTTTATTTTAAAAAAATTGTATCCACGAGTGGAGATAAAAGGGTTTTGAATAATTATAAAATTAATAAATATTTTTAGTTAAATAATTAGCTAATTATTTAATAAAGATTAGAGACAAAAACATTAAGAATCTCATAAATACATAAAGTCAATAGGTCTAAAACTTGGCTTTTTATAGGGTTTTGGTTTGAGGGGCCTAAATATAATATTTTGGGCGGCAAAAGGCATAACTTAGTTTCACGTGGAACTTTTATTCTCAAATACGAATCATGTATCAGATGTTTCGATTTCGAATCATAAAAATAAAATATTTTTTGTAGTAGAGAATGTATCACTCCCGAAAAAGAACATCATAACACGTCTAAAAACAAACATTGAACATGTATCATCGACTGAAAGAAATTTATTGATAAACAAATAAATTAATATGTAGATAAATTCTTTCGAGCTATTGTGGGGAGTATATCTTCTGTACAAAAAGTGAAAGAATACTCTAAAGTGATATATTTCGACCCCAAAGATAACTTCTGATATCGAAATCAGTACGTACTTATATATATAAAAAGATACATGAAAAAAAAATAGAGAAAAGAACATGAAATGAAAAGTTCATTCGAATATTATATCATTACCACTCTGCATTGATTCATTGTATCTACATTATATAATGTCTGATTCATATTCTAACCTTACTTTAAAATTTCGATCACAATAATAACTCTTAATAATAAAAAAAACATATTCCAATTTCTAAATATACAAATAAATATGTAGTTAAGAAGGAATTAACCTACTTGATTCTTGTGAGGAACATCTTGTCATGTTCTTTTAGGAATATATTCCAATAGAATAATAAGCAATTAAAAAAATATCATTTATGAGTAGAGCTAAAAGAGAACTTTATGGACTTTTTTTTGTATAATAATTTTAATAATTAGTAGTTAAATAATCTACTAATAGAGTAATATTTAATTAAGATTAGAGACAAAATAATACATATAGTCAAATGTCAAAATTGAGGCCTTAATTATATTATTTTGGGCGGCAAAAGGCATGAAGTTATACATGATTTCATTTAGGTCCCCTATTTTTTTCATATAGGAATAATAAGGATTTTAAAATAATAATAATAATAATAAAAATTATTATTTCAATTAATATATTCAACACTTTAATAGTTCTTTTATTCCATATCATTGAGTTAGGTGCCTATTGTTTATGAGGAATTTGGTATATTTCTTTATTAATTGTCCGCTCTCACGAGAAAAAGTTTAAATATGTCGTCAAACTTTGAGAAAAGATTTATATATATCATCCATTAAAAATTAGCTCATCTGTGTCATTTTCGTTTGAGAAAAGATTCCTCCGTGCCATTATTTATTGAGAAAGAGGACAAATACACCCCCGAACTACCGTAAATAGTATGCAAATACCCTGTCATAATTTTTGGACATTGGTGCTGGTACCGTCAAAAAATTAGAGCATATATAACCTTTACACCAACGGATATACACGTGTCATAATTTTATCCACCGATCGAATATTTTTTAAATATCGCATGGACATATAAGACTGTGTCACGTGTCCTTATTTAGTAGTGAAAGACATATATGGTCTAGTTTTTTTACGATAGGGGCACCAATGTCCCTAAAGTATGATGAAGGACATCTGCATACCATTTACGATAGCTCAGGGGTATATTTGTCATTTTCCCCTTATTTATTAACTAAAAAAGGCACTCTATGATTTTTACTTTTATTTTTAAATAAAGAAAATGATTTTCCTAATAAAAGTCGAAAAACAAGTTCTACAAGTAGTATTTCACATTGATTGTGTCTTCCGCACCTTTCAATACATTTTATCTTCACACCCATCCTCGTAGCCCCTATCTCCACCACCCTATTACCATCCTAAATTTCCATAGTATTTATCTAGATTATATATAAAATAATATTTTTTATTTACATACTAAACAAAAAAACATAAGTTCAAAAATCCACTTATTTTTTTCTGAAAAACTTTTTCCTTCGTACCAAACGCACCCTTAATTAAATATCTCATATCCATACCTTAGGAATGAAAATACTCATCGTACTAAAAAGAAAGCTTTTTCTTATCCAACGCAAATCCAAATTAATCGAGATTCTAGAACGAATACTGGACACCGAGTAAGAAAGTAAAAATAAAAATATGTATATGGCTTACATTTGGATGAACTCTAGATATAGACTTGCAGAATGAAACCTTCCTATTAGTAACATTGACAGTGAAAATTCATGTAACTGCTGAACTTGTTTCGGACTAAGGTGTAGTTATTATTTTATCGACTCTAAATTTTGGATCCACCACGCGCCAACTTATTTCTCTTTAGAAAATAAAAAGAAATGAAAACAAAAAAGGCAAAAAAAGACCAAGTTAACAACCTACAACTCCAATAACTTTTTTGATTAATACATCAGAATATGCAGATTTGCTATACCTGATCATTAAACTTTTACAAATTGTACTCTTAACATTACAGTGGTTTAAAAAAAATATGAATGTCAAAGTATTGGTAAGCCTGTGCACTGATTCTTGATTCTTTCAGGAACTTCACGCAACGTCAACAAGGGAATCCGGAGAAAGGGAAAGGGGGAGAGACGAATTAAGTTTCAACGCGTTAGAGGAGAGATGGTAAGCATTTATAGAACATCATGCTTTAAAAAATGAAGATGGAAGCTTGTAGAGCTACCAGTTAAAAGCACCTGTCCCATTTCACTCACTCTTAGTAAGCAGGATAAATAACTCCTCATCTTTGATTGCACCCATCTCCATAGCCCTGTCCAGGGCGCTGAGTCCACCATAATCCTTGATTGATGCACGAGCACCTCTGAACACATACAAAGAAGAGAACATAAGAGACTCGGAAAATATAAGAGTATGATGTTTCGTATACAAAGCATAACATGAATTCCTTTGAAGTTGGAAGCCGCGAGTATTTTCAGTAACAAAAGAGAGCTAGTAGAGAATGTAAAATCAGAAACTTGGATGAAAACTAAGCAATGGATGTTATTTCACAGCTACTGACTGATGCCCACAAGAAATCTTGAAGCAGTCCTGCCACGAGAGAGTTCACCAATAGCAGCTGAATCATGTTTCGCCAACCAACCAATTGTAGTTAGTTGTGAAGAGAAAGAAGTTACTATTGGATGAGATCATAGGCTGACTGTTGAGGAATTGTTCCAGAGGCTACTATCGGATGTATCAAGGGATGAAAAATCCTGGTTGTGATGTAAAGTAACTATTGGGATGATATCACCAATTGAAAGAGCTAAAGGGACTTGTAAAATATTAACAATCTATCTTTGATATCTTTGCCTACAAATTAACATATGCATGTAGGACTCCAATTTGGTTTGCTGAAGTGGAGTGCTCAGACCTTGAAGCCTCAAGTACACGGTACACGGTAAACTGGAAAATCTGATACCATGAAGTAATCCTTCTCTTCGGCATAAACTGAGCTTTATCACTGAAAGACAAGGGTAGATGGCAATCTAACAACCAGAATTTTGCCTAACCTAACCTTCAGAAATAATGGTATCCATCCTTATACCAAAGCAAAGCAATATTCATTATTTATGGCCAGAAAGTTATATACATATAATTATAACCTAAAACTTCCATGCTTATTAGCAGTAAGTATCCTATCACCTGCATCTGTTGTTTTATCACTCACACGTATCCTAGAAAAGAACTAAAGATCTAAATGCAGAGATAATGTAAGCAAATTAAATACTGGGAGAACCTTTTTTTTCATGACCCTGGTGATACTTGCAACCGTCCATCAGCAACAGGTACTAGGTAACTCTATCCATCAAGGCTAGGACAGATGGGAAGAAATCACATAGTGTTTTTTTTTGTCTCTGTTGGGATTTAAATTTGAGAACTCATGGTTCTCAACCATTTCATTGACTTCTAGGCCACATTCTTGGGTGCTTAAATACTGAGATAACTAATATGTTGATGAGCGGTCAGATCATTAAATTGCCTACAAATCATGCTGCATAAAATTGATTCTGAATTAAATATATCACCTTCTAAGCAAAAATTTAGCCAAGTGGTGTCTTCCATTGCCGATGCAATGTTGTAGAGGAGTCCTTCCATGAAAATCACGCCTATTTATATCAGAACCAAATTGCAGAAGAAGTTCAAGCATCACCGGAGTTTCCCCATTGCAGGCTAGATGTAACAAAGAACAGCCTTGAAGGCAAAGCTTGATTCCCTGACAGGCTGCTGGGTTTTGATGTTTCTTTTGGGAATCCTGAAGGCCTAGTTTTGAATCATTTTCATGAATTTCATGGTACATTGTGGCACCCTCGACCTCATCATAGATAGTGTTGATTATATTCACATCTGACACTACAATAATTTGGTACACGTCCTTCACCTTATTACTCCTAACTGCTTCCCAAATGAGGGTGGCACGATTGCTGTAAGGTGCAAAAGCTTCTTTATTCACAACCTGCTTTTCAACATACTGGATAACATGAAGGAAGTTAATATCGCATATATCGCACGAGCTTTACATGTATTCTCAATTCATAGAAACTTCCTCACAGCAACTTAAACCCAAACTTCTTTAAATAGTTCTTTCACATTAAGTGGGAAGACACACTGTTTCTCCATTGGACCTCCACTATTAATGAAACAACAGACAAATGATCATGAGATTCTCTTTGTAGAATTCCATTGAAAAACAAGAAGACCGAGTTGATGGATGAACAAGCTTAGCACAACGGATAAAATGTATAACATGGAGAAGGAAAGCCCTTAAAACATGCAAGAAAGTATACCTTTGCCAAAATATACTTCTCCTTTTCATGAAAGGCATCTTTGGGGCTTGGCTTGGAAGCAGATTGAATAGCATCAACATTTGTTAATCTGAATAAATTAATCATTCAACATGAGCTAACACCAACATAGATTATAAAAATGTTTGAGCTAAATGCATGTTATATCATCATGGCACATGGGAACATTATCTATCCAACAATGTGCACTGAATAGGTAGTCCGACCCAGATAGAATGTCAATTGTAATGGAAAAATAGATTGTATATTGACTAGTTCAATTGAAGAATGAATAGTAGTGTGGACATAATCCCCGGAACTGTATAGTTGGAATTTTGTGATCTTTGATATTTCTCAACATTTCGTCTTTTCTTGGCTGGGGGAGGACCTTTCACATTAAATTTGAACCCAAATATCAATAAACACACAGAATCTATAGAAATTCCAACCCATGCAAGATGACTTTCTTGTATATATTATCAACGAAGGGTACATACTCGTCATTTGGAAGTTGAAGCAGCTCCTCCCACACCGAATTACAATAAGAATTACCCAATGTGCGGAATAGATCCAAGATGGTAGGCTCCCAAACCCTGACATCTAACGTTATGGACCTTACCTGCAAATGATAAGTATCTCAAACATCAATCAACTCAACAGGCCCATAGATCGTTCATTTTGTTACTTTCTGGGGTCAGCAACTGAAAACAAGTTATACTTCAAAATACATTTCAGAAAAGATCCAATAGCTACTAACCTTGTAGTACATTGTCATGAAAGTAGTGCAAATACTCATATTCTCAAATATAAATGCATGTGGACCAGTACAAAGTTGAACAAACACCGTGAACTAAATGGAATTACTGTTTTTTTTTTTGAATAAGGCAGATGTTTTGAAGACAAGGGGAACAAAGAAATTTCAACATGGATAAAGATGTACCTTTGAAATATGAACACCTAGGTTCCGATGAATGCCCGAGCACTCTATACAAATTAGGATTCCAAGATTTAGAGAAGCCCAATCAGGTTCTGAAGCACCACAGTCAGCACACTTGTCATTTCCAGGAACTTCTCTGAGAATCTTAGAAACAGAATCAGGCTGATTGACTCTTACGGAAGCTAGGGCTTTTTCATCATTAACAGCCCCTTGAACATTCAAAGAAGCAGCATAGGTGTTTTTGCTACCATCAATGTCATTTTTACTAGCATCAAACTGCAAAGACAAGATGATGCTCAAGATGACTTAGAAAATCATTTTCTACAGAAAACTAGATTTCAAGTTTCAACCTTCTGTAGATGAGAATTCAGAAGGGACGCAATCACTCCGGTGATTTTATTCATCCAGTCAACTCGTTCAGCTTCACTTTCAGCCTGCCAGTGGAAAATAAACGGAAATCATTACATATGGTGGATCAGCCCTTGCTAAAGTGTCATCGAATCTGGTAACACATTAGTCCAACTGCAAAAGAGTTTGTTCTTTCTGCTGAAGAAAATAAGAAGCCAATTGTGACTATTGTTCAGCACATTGATTGCTAACAAAATGTCAAAGCACAAAACTAGATAAACACACAGTTGCCAGAAACTTTTATTTGCAAGATGAAGTCTAAAATAAAACATACAGTGCATAAGCTTAGAAATGACAAACTGTAACAGCTTGAGCAAAAGAGAAGTAGCCAAATAAAACAATTACAATATATCAAGTCAACACTTCTTGATACTAGCTTATTACGTCATTTCTTCCTTGCATTAATCAGATATGGATCCAATGCATCAAAGTAATAGTATACCAAGAAATTCAAACTTCTATTGTAGACAGGAAAAGAAAATCACACTAAAACAGTTCAAAACATTAGGTAACTCTTAAATCTTTCTTCTTTGAGATGTTCTTCCCTTCTAGAGTTGATATATCAATTTAAGCATTGAATACAGAGATCAACTATTCTATAATTTACCTGCAACGTATAGGATTTTAATGGCGAAATAATTCTGAAGCAAAGCCTCAGGTCTGTGTCCTCTGCATCCAGTTTTATTGTAGAAGTATGAAGATCAACAGTACGACAGCCTAAATTCTCCTCTCCAGCGGATGACGACCTGTACTTTGTCCGAAATCTGCCAAATACACTACTATGGTTATCAACACCAGAAGGGTGAGATGATGGGGAGCCCTGGCAATAAGATAAAAAATAAATGGCGTAAGCAAATGAGTGTTCTGGAAACACTTTCATCCCTAAAATACTGTAAGTAAAATCCATCAGAGTTGAGAAAACCATACTTTTTACACTAAATAGAAGTGCTTTCCAAAGTGCTCGGAAGTACCATAAAGTACTTCTAGTTTGTAGAACTTTGTGTCAATTTCCTTTCAAAAGTTCAAGTTTAGAGCTGTACAGTAGTACGTTACAGTTTTGAATAGAGAGGTTACTACTGAACAAAAGAATCAGGTGCCAGATTTTTCAAATACCATTTTTCCAAAAGAAAACTTTCCCCTGCTATGATGCTATGTCGGTGAAATCGAACAATAGTCTCTTGAGTGAGCTGGCAAAGGATGCCTTTCGAAGGGAGAAATGAGCACAATGTTCACCTATTATAGATGGTCATGTGGCATGCCAATGAAACCCATCTATATCAGCAAATATAGACATACTTCATTTGTTCTTTATAATCAAAGTAAATTCATGTTGACTTGCCAGTTGTTCACAAACATTAGCTTTTGAAATACATAATATAGTTGGCAACAGTCAGAAGTTCATGTAGAAGTAAACCTACTCATGAAGATGTCTGAGAAAGTCGAAGAGTCAGCAACTTCATATGCCTGCCCTTCAGATTTTTCTCCCATATCACTCCAAATTTTCCACCAAATGATTATACTTTACAAATCTACTTTATTATACTAATCATTACACTTAAGATGATTTAATCAAACTTAACTTTCATGTAAATAGACAAGAAATTAAATTTAAACAAACAGGGATTGATTCACACTTGGTGTCTGCGGAAAACTTTGAAAAAAGAAGTCTGAAGCAAAATAGAGGCATGACAATGACTAATACAGGAAGGTGAAAATAATTAACAATACCATCTGTGCACCCTTGATCCTGTAATAGTACAAATTGCCAAGACTGTCAAGTACAAAGAACCGCCTCTTCCAATCTGCCCTCAAACTAGAAGATCTTTTCAAAAGATATCCCTGCTTAATTGTTTGGACCTGAAAGAATGTTCAAAAAACATCCATACTTTAACATCTAGCATCTGGAAAATTTTTTTCTAGGAAATGAGGAGATATTTCAGGTGTTCCTATATTTAAACAAGTGCTATATCTATTGTTTTTTTTGAAACTGTAACATTGTATTTCACATAGTACTTAGGTAGTACTGAAAAACCATATTTACAAAAGCAGAAAGTAAGAACAATCTATCCAAAAAACTGAACCAAATCTAAATGGATCCTAAAACATCTATGATTGACTCAGTTTCATTGGAGTAGACATTTGTACACCAAAAGCAGACAAATATATCTATTGTAGAGATCTCAACCCCAAAGACAGACAGATAGCAGACAGAAAAATCATTGTTATATTACTTTTTTTTTAACATGGTAACTTTGTTATATTACTTACCGCTCCTTCTGCACTGGACTGCATAATTGCTTCTATATTTTTGTCTGAATTCATACCAACACCATTTGAGGCTATAGAACTAGTTGAAGTACCAAGGTTACTAGATCCCCGCAAATGATTCAGCTCAGCTTGTGTCCTAAACTCTTGGATTCTTTTGGCAAGTTTATCTTGTTCTATGCTGGCCTGTTCTTTCGACTGCTGGGCATATGTCAAAACCTGATTTATGGAGACAACATTAGCACCAAAAATATTCAAAAAGAAGAAAGATATCAAACAAAAACTCAAATTTCTAATCAATGTCATTAATCAAGCAGCTGCAAAAATCAACCATTTAGTATTATTGAATTGTTGTTGTGCCTACATTATTACATTGAGACCAAATTTATAGACCCTAGAATACAATCCTTTACCAAGCAGGGTACTATTTAGTATTCCTATTTTAATAGGATTGTATAAACATATTCCTATTCTAATAGGATTGTATAAACATACTCCTATTCTAATAGGATTGTATAAACCTATTCCTATTTTAATAGGATTGTATAAATCTATCCATATTCTAACAGTGACTAAGGCTGGCAACGGACCGGCTACGGGCCACCGGACTGGTATTTCCCGGTCCAGTGGTCCCAAACTCGGTCCATTGTCAGCCTTTCAGAGCTCTTTTTCCTTTGCTCAACATTACAGTATTCCATTTCACCAGGTAATTACCCTTGCCTTCTTTGCCCCCTTGCCACAGGATGTTTCTTGTAAGTCTGTCCAGCTTTTTGACAACTTTTGAAGGAATTGACAAAAAAAGACATAACATAAGTAGAGGGGGAGGGGGATCCAAGACAGTATTAATCAGAATCACTCTATCCCCGAGTGAGATATCGTGCTTTCCACCTAGCCAACTTCTTTTCTGCTTTCTCCGGGATCCCATCCCATATCTCCAGTGTTTTCTGTTTGCTCCCTGAGCGCATACCCAAGTATGTGGTTGGTGATCCATCAATTTTGCACCCCAAGATATTTGCCAGTCTTAGAATCTGATGTACATCTTTGACAGGAATCAGTCTGTTTTTCTCCCCAGTTGACCTTTAGGCCTGATACTGCTTCAAAAAGAATCAAGATCAATCTGATATAGTTCATTTGTTTTGCCTCTGGTTCACACATGATAAAGTATCATCTGCATATAATAGGTACTAATATCTTTTCCACCCCATCCCCTAGTTTTGTCTCCTATATGAAAGCCTCTGATCCATCTATGTTGTGTAGCTATTCTCATCATACTATCAAAACCTTCCATTGCTAGAAGGTTCCCTTGTCTCAGTCCTCTTTCTGAAGGAAAATAACCAACTGGTTCTCCATTTAATAGGACTGAGAATCTCACTATTTTGATGCACAATTCTATCCATTTCAACTTACTGCCAAAGTTCATTTGTTTCAAAATGTTTAGTAAGAAGGACCAGTTAAGATTTCTGGATGTCCAACTTGCATAGTAGATCTGCAGTGCCATCTTCAATAGATACATTCACTGGCTATCAAAGCAGCATCCATTATTTGACTCTTGCTTATGAAGGCCATCTGATTATTATCAACCAATTTGCTCACCACCTTCTTAAGCCTTCCTGCCAGTAGCTTAGCAATGATCCTGTACACACCTCCTGTAAGACTGATTGGCCTATAATCCTTCAGCTCTGAGGCTCCAACCTTTTTAGGGATTAGAGGTATATAGTTGCATTGGTACTCTTTCCAAAGTTCTGATTTGAGTGGAAATGTCTCCCTTCAGAACCTCCAAAAAGTCTGAAGGAAGATCATTGGAAAGCCATCTGGACCAGGTGGCTTCTCCATAGCACACATTCTAATACTTTCCTATATTTCATCCTCTTCAAAAGGTCTTTGTAGCCAGGTCTGTTGTTCCTCAGAAATCACAGTAACATCCAGTATATTAAGATCAGGCCTCCATTGTTCAGACTCTTTGTATAAGTTCCTGTAAAAATTCTGAGATGCCTCTTTGATCAAGACAGGATACTTCACCGTGACTCTTTCCACATGAAGTTGTTCCATAGAGTTGAACCTCCTGTGTGAAGTTGCAATTCTATGGAAGAACTTTGTGTTTTTGACTTTTGTCACCATGTTTCAACCATGGTATCCTGGACCTTTCTTTCCAAGCTATCTCCTCATTCTTGGCTACCTCATCAAATTTATCTTTTGAAGAACTTCAGCATCAGTGAGAACTCTGTGTTCCTATGTGCTTTCCCAGATTGCTATATGGTTCAAAATGCCTTCGTTTCTCTGTTTCTGGTTACCTTTGTTATCCCTGCTCCACTCTTTCAGTTTAGCCTTTAGCTAGTATGAAGTCTGCTCTTCCTTCAACACTGAAAGAATTCCACCACTTTACTCTGTCTTTGAACCCTCCACTTCCAGCCACCACGATTCAAATTTGAAGTCGGATTTCTTCCATTCCTGATCCCCACATGTCAAAGCAATAGGATTGTGATCTGAAGTTTAACTTTATAGCACATCTTCTTGATCTGAGAGCCCCCCCCCCCCCCCCCCCACAACCCAAGCAATGTAGGAACCTATCAATCCCTCCTACAAGTATCTGATTCCCCAAATAAAGGAGGATCAATCAGCTCCAATTGCACCACTAAGTCTCATACAGTTTGGTCTTTCTGAGGGAAATCTGATGACATTAAAGTCATCTACACTATCCATGGCCCAGCATACCTGCTTTTAATGGCTAACAATTTCTCCCACAGTGTCTTCCTGATTCTTTATTACAATCTGCATAGACTGCATAATGTGCCACCTGAAATCCTCATTTACCCCTGTGAACTTCCAAGTAATACTTTGATCACCAACCTCCACCATTTCTCCTGTCCACACGCTTTCATCCCAGAGGACTACAATTCCCCCACTGCTCCTATTGCCTCTTTAAGAAATTCTCCCATCCATCTGTTATCCCATATACTCTGTAGCCTGTATTACTCCATCAATTGGCCATTCTAGTTTTTTTTTTTGAAATTAAGTGGCCCTTCTAGTTTTGTTTCAACTAGAATACACATATTGACATCCCAAGATATAGTAATTTCCTGACAATGCTCCTCTAACCACCCCCATGTATCCCCCTCACATTCCATGATATTAATTTCACTTTCATTGATACGTTAAGGCTAGTTAAGGCAAGAATTAATTTCATGATAATGAGGCAGAGTATACTAATAGTAAGCAAGCACAAAACCAAGAACCGCTAAGAGCTATGAGTGAGCTACTTTATGCAAACATCAATCTCCTTAAATGTAATTTACACACATTCCAACCAGGAACCAGAGGAACAATGAAGAATCCTCAAGAAACAAGTAAATAGTAAACAAGAATAAATCGCAGCATGAGAGGACCAGTAGTCGGTCTGTCATAATCCATATTCCATACAAAGAGTGTGTTTGTTCATGAAGCCATTGGAGAGTATGAAGATACTTTTGTGGAATTGTCTAAGTGATTGATTCATCTCAACGGAGCTCTATTTATACATATACAAGAAGCATCTTTGCATTAACCAACTAACTACTTTCTAACAACTAATCATGCCAGCTGGACTAATTAAACTACACTTTAATCCATTCAACTCAGTTAACTAACTAATCAGCATAGCCTAACTGTATTTTCAACTAGCTGATTTTGTACAAATCTATCTTCAACTAAATTTCAATACTGTCAAACCCAAAATGAATCAATGGCAGCATGATGGTACTACCTCGTTCCAGTAAGTAGCTAGTCAATCACGATATAAGGAAAAAATAACTCATATGATGGGTACCTGATGGATGAACGGCTCCATCTGGCTCAATAAGTCATGACCCTACATTCAACAAGTATTAAAATTTGTTAGTTTAATGACAGAAACATAACTGCATCAAAGAGAAGATAAAGAACATCATACCAGCTTGAAGTATCTCAGATGTGCATCCATAATAGCACTAAAGGATTCTAAGAACTCGTACTTCTTTTTGGCATCAACATTTGTGATAGCATTTACCTGAAATCCTTGAGGCGACAAGGCTATAAATTAGAATCTTGAGGCAAGAATGCTTGCTGTGTAGAAAAGATTCTTGTATCCATTATACATACAAGATTGAAACGGCTTCTCTCAAAAGTGGACTTTGAGTTATGAAGCTCCTGTCACAGAAAAAGCTGTAAAACTCCAATTCCCAGTTTTGACTCCTAATTACTTCAAATGTTTTCCTTGACAGATAAGCACTAATATAAAACAGAGGGATACAGAAGGCTGGACATACTTCATAAAAACCTGAATAGGACATTGTTAGCATCAAAACAGAACGAGATATAAGTGAAACCTTCAACATTAATTCATCACAATTTGTTCCCTGGACTTGGGAGCAATGTCTATTTATGTAAAAGCTCTGAGATATGCTTCGGGAAAAAGCCTCTACCAATAAGGTGGCCTCGGCGAGCTTCACCCGAAGATGTATCAACATTCTTTCTTTTGTGAAGGTCATTTTACAACAACCAGAAAACACACACACGCAAAAGAAGAGGGGAAGATGTGTTTACCAAAAGCATGAGGCTGAGTTTCTTCTTTTTTTTTTTTAAGTAGAGCATGAGCTTGAGTTATTTATACTTTCGCTAATATAATATCCTACCTATAAAATAATTGGTAGCAATATGGATGATGCTCTTCACGTATAGCATGCCAGAATGAGTTTCTCATCCTGTCCCTACACAATCTCGATAAAATAAAAAAATAGTACTACTATGGAAGATGTGGTTGGACAAAGGTATTTATCTGTGATATGTTCATGAGGATGAATTCTCTTACAAGTTCCTCCCAAAGCAACACCTTTCACCTCATTTTTTTTCCTCAAGGAAAACAAGCATGTAAATGATTCCTCAGAGGGATCCTATAAGAAAAGACCTAAAGCAGACCAAAATTTTGAGATTCTTTAGGACATAATTTTATTTGAACACATAACAATCAGGATACCAATCACTTTTGGTTGGTAATTTTTGCAACATTTATCAGTTTGTGTTAGGTTACACCTCATCAAGTTAGGCAGATAGAGAGATACACATAAGAGGATGAACAATCCACAAAGATAACCTTTTTCAGAGAAAGGGCTTACTTCTTCAAGTTCAGTAACAACTTCATCCCGTGCATTCTTCTTCAGAGAAGAAAACCTTTCACGTGCCTGGCAGTTTAGCAACTCAGGAGTGAAATTAATAACAAAAAGAACTGGAAGTGTTATCTTCCAAATGAACAGAATTTTGCACATAAAGTCTGCTTAGCATTTAAAAAAGCAGCTTTAAACTTGTTTCTATTGAAACATCTCCATTACCTGGTCATAAGTGGATGCAGCTTTATCAAACCTGCGACGGGATTCCTGCAAAATTAGCGACGAGTCATCAGACACATGACATTAAAGTACCAACCCTTGTATGTCAAAATCCACTAAAAGGCACCCATTTGACAGAATTACAGCCAAGTTAGGCTGGCACCAAGTACAGTGGATTGGTGTTCTGTAGCCATGTTTTGTTGTAGGTTCTCTACAATTTGGTATTCAACTTGTATATTGGGGTATTCCATTGTTTATAAAATTGCTTGCCTTATCAAAAAAAATAAAACAGCTACCTAATTCTATTAACGCAAACATAGAGAGAGCTTAATCTAGATTTCCACAACAATATTGAAATAATGCCAAATTTGATCACCTTTACATCCCGCAAATCATCAGACAAAAACTGGCACACACGATCCACCAGCACATGTTCTACCTGCAAAAGGAATAACTTGCCTTACTTTTTCAAAGAACTATATCAGAATAAACATTGATATAAAATGGAGCGACATAATCAGACAAGCTTAGCACATCCAACTACAGAAGGTACCGAACAATTTCGTTTTGCGATCCCAGCGAAAGCTCCTAATGGCTTGTTCAAAAATTGCAAGGCCAAGTTTTCTACTTAGGTGTCTCCACTTCGACGGCATTTAAGTGAAACAAAATTAATGAACATCTCAGAAGTATCTATTTGGTTAGTTAACAAGTTTGTGATTATACAAGAACTTAATCGTGTATAAGATTGGTGTAACTAAAACAACAGAAGATTGGTGTTTGATGATAATGATTGTGGTTCCACTTAGCGCAAAGTTGCTATGCCCATGTAGCTCAAGAGAACGATTTACAGAACTATGGTATTCCACCATATGCATGCTGGTACAGTTTTCCACTACCTTTGTTGTCTTTTGCTCACTCCCCTTCTGATCCAGCGGCTTAGTAAGTTTGCAGTGTGTTCTAGCATTGTCCAATTCTCCCTAGTCACAGAAATGAAGAGTGCCCAAATTTGGGATGTTACCTTTCAGTGAAGGAATATGTGAGTGTTAGTTTCAGTTGCCTTCATGCTTAGATGCATCTAGATGCTATTTGGATTTCCTCTTCTTAAGTGCTTCATGAGTTAGACATGCTTTTCTCACTACAAACCATGAAAAATATTTCACCTTTGTTGGTGCCACGCTTTTCCATGTAGCTTTCCAGGGGCCTTTTTATTTGAACTGGTAACTGTAGCTTTCCAGGGACCTTTGTAACTTCTTTTTTCACCATGTCTTTTTTGAGGAACAACTTCTTTTTCACCATGTTCTATGATAATGGCCAGTTATTCCCCCAGTCCCTAACAATTCCTCATGAATCTAATATTCCAGCTATTAGTAGATTTGCACTGAGCTATGGTTGCTTCAGGATATGAGACAAAGTTGTATAGACCTGGTAATTCCTCAAGGGTATACGACTCTACGTCTCAGCCATGCATCCTACCAGAATCTTATCTACTATGACCCACCTTGAATTGTTTTCAGTATGTAACTCATCCCAGCGATGACTTATCTACATTCATGATCTCACTCCATGAGTTGTTGACACAGGTTTCGTGCACCGAAAATAACTATAATGGAGGTATTGAAGTAAAAAAAACAGAACAGTGTGCCATACACAGCAATATGCTTTTATAGAAGAGTACAGATTTTCTTACAAAAGGCTCACTATAGTGATTTAGAATACATCCACTTACTTGGGAACGGATAAGTTCCTTGTATGTAGCAAGCTCACGCAATGCAGAGATAAACTTCATTATGATTGGACCTGACATATGGATGCATTTAAGAGTGATACATAATCTTATTGTTTGATAGAAGTAATTATAAGCTTCACAATCTAAGCACGGAGACAACATTAGCATATTACATTGGGCAACCATACTTTGGAAATATCAATGGAGTAAATAACAGCCATATCAACTCCATCAAGTGACACCAGAACTACAGCTTGAAATTTCACATCAGCATGCATATTTTGCAAATAGAACTACAACTTCATCGATTTATGATATTTTTTAACAAGGCTTCATGGAATTATTTTATTGATCAAGTTGAAGTTTTCATTGATAATAACAAGGTCAACATGACCATATACAAGAGGTATACCAGAAAAGGAGAAACCTACAAAATATGGTCCTCACCAAAAGCCACACCATCCTCTATACAAACAGGAACTACATGGGTGCACCAAAGGAAAATAAGGGATTGGAGTCTACTCCTCAATTAAGCAAAGTTCTCTCCACCCCTTCAAAAGATCTACTATTTTGCTCTTTCCAAATGACCCACATTAAAGCGAAACTTAGTAAGACAAACAAGCAATGGGGGATTTATTAGAATGAACTATCACTGCATAGTGGGTTCGGGCTAGACCACATATTTTCTTCGTTAACCCTTGATGTACTTTGATGTTATGTAGCCCCATGAATTAGCCCAAGAAGTTTAGAATTGGCTTATAAATTATTTCTTAAGCGTAGTCGCTCTTAATTTGACAAGTTATATGTATGCACATGTAACATGTGTATGGAATATACCAATTGAAGATTTGGAATTGTGATATATTAAGGAATTACTATAATGACATGTCACAATGGTTTAAGTTTGGACTTTAGGCAACAAACTATATGGACTTTGATGACGAATTGAGCAAACAAAAGAAGTTTAATGTGATGAATGACTGGGGTCTTGAATAGCCTATTAAGAAGATTTGGTTTGGTGTCTAGAATGCAGCATTGGTGCACTTTCCTGATGACAATATGCATTTGGTGATATTTTATATGAAGTACATTTATAAATCCAGGCCCCGAAGAAGGTGGTACAGGCGACAGCTTATTGGGTCTTTAAAATGTGGTATATAGTGAATTTTAAGAAATAACCAAACTGATCCTACACTCTGAAGTGGGTTGCCAGATTTGGAGATTTAAAGTGAGGAATGAGTATAATAAAGTGAAGCAAAACCCATGTAGTAATGTCAATGAATGATGAGAAAGGATTCCACAAAAGCAATTGATTTGGCTCTTTACACTATATGAAAGAAGAGAACCTAGAGATTTTCTTACTAATGTAGAATCCTGAATCACCAATAGTTCACTATTAGCTCTTTCGTACCTATGTGTTCTCTTTGACTACTATATTAGATATGGAGATCAATATCTAAGATTTTAAATGAAGCATTTTTGTTTAGATGATGATATTACGACAGAAAATGGATTTATTTGAAGGATTTGAACTTAGAAATACATGGATTGAGCCCTAAAACCTCAAATTAGTAACTTGAGCATTTGATCCACTTCAAGGACTTCGATGGAGAACTAATAATATATTTGGATTTAGAAAGTTATGGTAATCTGAAAATATATCTGGTCCATCAATTTGATCGCACAATGGATGACTTTGACTTTTGTCCAAGACTCAATTTGGAGAGATGAATCAAATGGATATATTTTATGTTGATAGGAGGCATTTAACGGAGTTCAGCACGATAATGAGTTGGGAAGCTGTGTGGTTAGCTTGTAATTAAGGTGAGAGAAGACCTTAACCCCTGATTGCTCATTTCCCTTAACTAACATGTCAAATAGTTTGACCTTGCATAATATGATTGGAAAAGATGTTTTTACCACTCCATGACATACCAACAAGCAGTCTACAGAAATACAAGTCATGCAAACCTCATCCAATCATCTATATGACTTGGCACGTCTTGAACACTTCCATCCCATACCACACCCATAAAGAGGGAAAACAAAAAATAAACCAGTGAGAGGGAAAAAGAGAAACAAATATGTGCTTCTCAAAGACATCTTATGGAGATTTTTAACAACGTGAAAGGTTTTACAATGTTGCCTTCTCAAAAACATCCATATAAGAGCACTAGCTGACAACTATCAGGCTGCTTTTCAACGTTACCTTCTCAACAACATCCATATAAGAGCACTAGCTGACAACTTTCAGGCTTTAACTATCTAGCCTGACCTCAATATTGACTCAGCATCTCCCTAGAAGACCGAGATGTTATCCATTAAGCAATTAAGAAAGCTGTGAATTCCTTTAGGGAACATACCACCTTAGAGAAGAATAACATTTATATGAGAATTCCAAACTTAATGCCACTTTTGGGGTGTCTAAGTTTTGTTTGATAGAAATACAATTGTTACCTTCCTCAAAAAGAAAAAATTAAAAAAATCCAAACTTAGTGTGATCTTCGAGGTGATCATTTATATGAGAATTCCAAAATCAAGCATTAACATTGAAGAGAATAAAAGAAAAACACCTTCAACAAAATAAACAGCAGGCATGATGCACCTATTGACAATTGCAAATAAAATTAGCAAAAATGAGAACCTTGTAATAGTTTGAATGAGTAAAGCCAACTAACCTCCAAGGGACACACTGAGAGGGTCGTCCAGACCACCACCAAATGCCTCTAATGATTCGGCAAACATGATGTCTCCATTCTGTGTTTCTCCAAGAACTTCCCTGAAATAACTAAGCATCAAGAATAGCATCTACCTAAACAAATAAATGCAGATGAAGAAACCAGAACTTTCAAACAAAACAAGAGAATGATATATTCTGCAGAACGACAAAATTGCCAACGCATAGAAAGGGGAAGAACGTATCACGTGTCAGTGAGAGAGAAAGATGAATGATCATTGACTACAAACTTACAGCTTTTAGAGAATGAAAGACAAATTCTTTAGTATTAAAACAAAATGGACCTATAGAGAACAGAATGTACCCAAGGGTGTGGCCTCGTAGTCAATGAAGTGAGTTAAGATCCATGAGGTCAGCTTCAAACCCCAACAAAGACCAAACAAAAAAAAATACTAGGTGTTTCTTCCCGACCGTTCTTGGTGGGAGGTGACAGGGCTATCTTGAATTAGTCAAGGTGCGCGCAAATTGGTCCGACATTACAGTTACAAAAAAAAAGAGCAAAATTCATATAGCAAACTACATTAATTTTGATTGAAATGTAGTTAAATGCCCCAAAGATTCCACCTTTTTAAGTCATTAGAGGTAATTACAGTAAAGATAAGCTATTACACCAAATAAAATGATAAAATTGAGTACTCACATATACTTCTTACATCCTTTATACAGCTTTTGACATCGATCTCTAAGGTCATCTGTAGTCTGTTCAAGACCCCTCACCTACAAAGCAACAAATTTTAATTTCAAAAACAAAAATTGATACAAAATTCCTCAAACATCAAAACCCAGAAAGCAATTTTTCAAAAAGATTCAAAAAAACATAAAAATGAAAAGGGGATCAAAAGAAAAGTTACTTGTTTCTGAAACATAGGAGAATCCTCCAGCTTAATAAAAGCAGCCATTGACATATTTCTCTTTCGTTTTTTTCCTCAATTTTCTTTTTATCTCTAAGATTCTTACTATACTTTCTCAAATGAAGAAGAAGAAAAAAACTTTGAATCAGATCTTCATAGTGGCAAATAGGTAGAGCCACTCTGTATATTCTTCATTCTTGAGGGTAAATTCTGTATATATGAGCTGTTGGAGGGACCATGTTTTATTACACAATTGTTGAGTCGTAACTATTTTATTCGGTTCGAAACTCATTTTCCAAACGATAGGTGGTTATAATATTTTATTACGATCTATCGTTATTATGTTAGTATAAAAAGTTTTAGATGAGTTTTTAATTTCACGTGATGATAGGATAGCTGAGGGAGTGATTTCAGATTTAAAACAGGTCATATAAATACTTATGCGTCTTTCATAGGAAAATACGTTATTTATCAAATTTCTATCGAATAAAAATATTATTCTAAAAGTATTAATATATTATAATTTAATAATTAGTGATTATATAACAACATTATTTTAAAAATATTAATATATTTTATAATTTAATGAAGGAGTAAAGATAATATAATTAGTGTGAAATATTAATTGTGACTAGGGAACTAGAAGTTGTTATTGGTCAATTTAATTCGAATTTTTTGTACTATTAATTTGATATCACGTTTTTTTATAATTATGAAGGAAATTAAAAAATATATGATATTTATTTTCCCTACTTTTGGAATCTTTAAAGAAACTCATTTTTAAAAAAATTATTATAATAATTTCAATTTAAATTTATGATTATTTAAAATTACGATACTAATATAAAGTATTTAAGTATAGCTGAAGTTATTTCTTTTATCATATCACTCTTAGGTTAGTAAAAGGAATTCATTACTATAAATATAAAAAATAAATTTAGATAATTATGTGAGAAAAAATTCACTCCTAAAAAATAGAAAATAAAAAGATACTTATATTAGTTATTATAAGTTATTTTATGTCTCACATATTGATCCATCGTTATCGCCATATCTGGCTAAAAAAAAATTTCAAAAAAAAGACTAATTCATTTCGAATATTTAAAAATATATTTATATTTTTTTTCTAGATTTAAATTTAAATTAAAAGTATAATCTCTATAATGTTGATGTGAATCCTGCCACATGTCTCAAAAGCAATAATAAATAATTAATATTGTATCGTTTCGTGGTTAATAGAATAGTTGAGAATTATGTCTTAAATTTTAGTAGATAAAAAAAAATAATATTTTTTTCGTTTTATTTTATATGAGTTACTTTGACCCGATATAGCGTTTAAGAAAGAACTGAAGACTTTTAAAACTTATGATCTAAAATAAGTGATAAATGTTTGTGTGAATAAATCACTTCATTAAGAGTAAAATAATTATTTTAAAATTAAATGGATACTTAATATAGAAATATTTCATGCTTTTTTTGACTGAAAAATAAAAATAAGTCATATTAACTGGGACATAAAGAATAATTATTTCTTTCGATTTGACCAAGTCATGTTTCTTTCTCATGTTGTCACTCAACTAATGATTATTTATCTAAAAAAAATATCATTTCTCATTAATTCAAATTTTCTTCAATAATGAAACTAATGATAAATACTCTACTAGTTAAGTGACAATCTGATAGACATATTTATTTGGTGTCGAGAGATAACATATATTTCGTAGAACTAATCCAAGTATTAAATAGATAAATTATCTGTACATATGTGAAGGGAGTAAATACTCGAAATTAATCAATTAACAGATAATAGGTTCCCCATAAAATTAATAGAAGCATTATATATTTACACGTGTTACTCCTTAATCGTTCAGTGGAGCTATAGTTCTTTTTTTTAATCTCTCATCTGTTGTTCAAGGTGAATCACTCCCGTCAGTGTACCACAACCCATGTTGGTACTGGAGCTATAGTTATATGAACACAAATCGGTATATTTAATTTAATTACTAGTCTAATCTCAGTGATTAATAAGGAACTACATAAGACAGCACCAGGCATGACTTAACACTAAGCCAACGTTCAGACCTTGTTTTTCCAAGTTAAAATAAGTCTGAGGAAAATTGATCGGTTAAGAACTATCGTGTTTTTAAAATAAGGGTGCGAAAATAAAGATGTTGAGGTGGATATGTGAACAAAAGAAGAGGGATTACATGAGGAATTAAGACATACGTGACAAGGGTAGGAGTGACCTCGATGTGAAGAGGTCATAGTGAGGAGGTGCGAGAGGTTGGTGATGGTAGGTTCGAGGAGTGGTAAATGTAGGTTAAAAAAGAATTAAGAAGAAGTGATTAGACAAAATATGATGCATATTCAACTCAACCGGGACATAATCCTAAAAACGAGGATCTAAAGATCGTGAATTAGGGTAGAAGGGTAATAGTTAATCGAGCATGTCTCGCTGTCCTGCGGGGTGGGCTTAGGATTGTTTGACGCCTCATATTTCTCCCTTAGTATCAGCAGTATTAGCAATATGAATAAGATTTGCATACACTATATCCTCTACAAACCTCTCCTTGTTGGACTACATTGAATATGTATAGTAATCAAAAGATACATGGAATTGAAGCTCTTGACACTCCAACTGAGAAATTTTCGGGACCAGTGTTTTGAAACTCGACAAATAATTAATTCGTTGCTTTGTCCTTTTCTACTTAAATATTATATGGCTTGCTTACTTCTAAAGCAAATTAGATCTAAGACTTTTTATTCCGTTATCCAAAATGCAATGACCCAAGTCAAGAAAGTGGCAATCATATTTCTGTCTAGGGCAAGGTTTGAACGATTGTTGTACTCCTAATCCACACATCACGTGATACACTCTTACCACTAGACCAAAGACTAAGAATCTTGGATGTAAAACATGAAGTTGGATACAAACAAGAAACTATGTTAACAAAGTGATGGAACCTCAATTACAATTACATCTCTCACAAAACATGATGACAACTTTTGAATCATGAATGTATCATAAACTAGTGAATGTCAATCCAAGTGGTATAAAAGCAAATTTCCTACATACAAACAGCTAAACCTAGAAAAAGCAAGAAAAGTAGAAAGTCCTTGAGACTTTACAAGAACTGAATCAACAAATCCCTGAGAACTCAGATACATCGATGAATGCTTAACTTACGAAGTAACTTCTGCCTTTCAAAAGAATCAGGACACGTTATTCGGGGCTTCCACAAGTATAGTACAAACTCATATGCTCAAATGTTCATCTCTTGGCAAGCTTTGTACAGTATCTGACCATCTTCCTGGTGAATGGTCACTGCTATTGGAGGACCCTTGAGCTTCTGCTCTAGCATCCCGGATCATCCTCAAAACATCCTTCATTGTGGGTCGATTCTCGGGTACAAGTGAAACACAAGCCATAGCTACGTTTAAGAGAGCACCGAGTTTCTCCTCCGAGGCTTCATTACTAGAAACAGGTTCATCACCTGATTCAGTTTCTTCTTCTCGAACAGATCTCACCCACCTCGGTATGTCTGATCCGTGCTCTTGAACAAGATCTTGAAATGGCGTCTTTCCCGTGAGGAGCTCCAATAGGAGGACGCCAAAGCTATAGACATCGGCCTGATGGGTAAGTGGCCTTCGAATGTCACGACACTCAGGAGCTCTATAGAAGAGGGAAGAAGCACCTGATTCCTCAGGAGAATCTAGATTCCTAAATGGCATGAGGCCATAATCTGTAAGACACGACTCAAAATCGGCCCCCAAGAGTACATTTGATGATTTCAAGTTTCCATGAGTCAGACCAGGGTTCTGATGGATATGAAGCAATCCAGTTGCCACATCCTCTGCAATTTTGAGACAGGAAGTCCAGTGAAGAGGCTTTGAACCACTATTAGCCCTTGTCCCTGAAAAAGTTGACAAACCGTAACAATATAACTTAGTTATCATCTGGAATATTATTTGAATAACAAAACATATTGGCTGTTCAGATACATGAAAATAAGAGTCCCAGCTAACTTTGAATATGTTGTCTTCAAATATTCGATTGGCACCCCCATGTATTAAATATCAGATGTGGTCTTACAATGACTAGTAACAAGATAAAACCGCATGAAAGGTAACACACTATTTAAGGTGGTACTTGCATACCGAGTATACAATTGCTAGATGCATAAAGCACCTTCCATCCGAACTGCTTTGAATTGTTTTTCCTCGAACCGAAGGTCTATTGAAACTACCTCTTTACCTCCAAGGTAGGGGTAACGTCTGCATATACTCTATCCCTGCCCAAACCCCACTTTTTGTGATTACACTGGGTATGTTGTTACAATAGAGCCTTCCACGTTGTGTTCATTTCAGAAAAAAAAACTTAGGTGTGCCTTTAGCTCTGCCATAGGTGATTTAGTGCCTGAAATGGTCTAATGGCCTCACAAAGCAACTCACTTTCAATGCCTTTCACTGCATCATCACAACTTCACTTAGAAGAAAAGATTAGCATCTAGACTACCTTATTCTTGATTATTACCCAACTTGCTATACCACACGTAGGGATCTTGGTGTTCAACATGTCGATTGACTATAATTTATATGATATTTAACTTTTTTTTCTTGTCACTGGTGTATTGCATTCTAGTTTCCCTAGATAGAAGAAAAGTAACTATCATATTGAACACACTCTGGAATACAACGTAGGTTCAACTTCAGTTTACTAGGAAAATCAACTTTAGAACATCTCAAACTATATCACAAGATATAATGTGGAGAGAACAAGAGATGTTGAGCAGATGTTTAAAGCTAAATAGTGCAGACAATTATGAAACTTTATAAACAGTGATGGAACTTCTAATCGCTAATGACTAGTGTCAGAAAAATTCTGTTTTTCTGCATACACACCACCCTCCACAGACCCTACTTGTGGGACTACACTGGATACGTTGTTCTTCTTCTTCTTGGATCAGAAGGAAAATGTTGATTTTTCCAGGTATCTTTGGAAGCTCACTGGTCAATTTAACAATTAACATGTTACCATAAAAGTCCTGAAATCAGCAGAATGCAAAGAAGCTCTTACATAAGCAAATTTGAACAATATGCAGGGTCATTTTATTTGTATTGTTCAAAACTGATCCACCTTATAGTAAAGTTATCACTGAAAACTATGGTTTTGTCTTTCTAATTTCAAAGTATATGCCTTATCTCCATATAT